CCCCCCCCCCCCCCCCCCCCTCTGAAAATACATGTGGGTAGGCAGCACAAAAATTTTAGGCTTTTAAAGGTGATAGAAGCGGGTGCTGGCTAAGCAGTGCAGAATAGGTATAGGCAGTCATTTCAACGAAGATACAAAAATTAATATTTTTTGTGGATACGTCGGTCCGTCTTGGCACTGCAGAATAGGTGGAAGAAGTGGGTCCAGGCTGTACCGGTACTATAAAAAGGTGGCCAAGCACAGGACTGTCCCAACACTTACTTCTTGGTCCTGGACCGGCACACAAGCACCACGATCAGACAGACGACAACGATGAGCAGGACTCCAGCCACAGCCGCCAGCGCCCAGGTGGTCAGCTCGAAGGTGTCCGCTGTGTCCACGCTGTCTTCTGGCTTGGGTTTGAACACGTCTGCTCGTTGGTCGGTCAGTGGAGGTGGTGGTGGAAGTTGCCGGGGGATGGTGGGAGCATAATCAGAGGACGGTTAGCTTAGTTTCAGTAAGAGATTTATGGCATTTGCAGGACAATAAGTTCATTTAAGTGCCGAAGATAAGGTGTTACAAGAGAGTAACAAACACGAAAAAGAAGGAGGGGAGATAAAGACAATAGATGTTTGATAAGAAATAAGAAGGAAACCAGACCAGAGCACCTGCCAACCACTCACTTATGGCATTTGCAGCACAAGAAGGTAATATAAAGGCGAAAGAATAGAGAAGTTACAAGAGAGTAACAAACACAAAAAAAAGAAAGAGAGATCAGGACGATAGATGTTTGATAAGACAGAAGGAGCACCCATCAACCACCCACATGATAAGAGGGGAAAAAAATGCTCCCAACTGCATAAGGTCATATGAGCGCCAAGGGGAGGATGTCAAAAGAGAAGTCCTTACAGGGAATCATACTTACTCTGCTCACCTCTCTAGCTTCAACAGCACAAAGTCTGCTTCGACTATCAAGGCACCCCGGACATAACGGGTCACAAGAGTGTGACAAACATACAGAAGTCGAGAAAAAAATGACGATAGTAAGGATTAGGAAAGAAAAAGCAGTAGTTCCCTGTTGCAGTTTAGGCACAGTTATGAGCATGACATTGATGAATCAGCCCATTTACAATTCTACTGTGCATAAAAACATGTTAATGTTTGGGAAAAGCCTAAAGACACTTCAGCCAGTAGTACCACCCGGGGTGTGTGTGTGTGTGTGTGTGTGTGTGTGTGTGTGTGTGTGTGTGAATGTGTGTGTGTGTGTGAGTGTGTGTGTGTGTGTGTGTGTGTGTGTGAATGTGTGTGTGTGTGTGAGTGTGTGTGTGTGTGTGTGTGTGTGTGTGTGTGAATGTGTGTGTGTGTGCGAGTGTGTGTGGCACAGGGAGAGATTTGACCATAAATGCTACACCACAGACCCAGGTGTGTGATATTGTTCATTTCTTTACCTTGATGAATTTTTGTATGTAAGAATTTATGTTTATTTATGTGTGTGTGTGTGTATGTGTGTGTGTGTGTGTGTGTGTATGTGTGTGTGTGTGTGTATGTGTGTGTGTGTGTGTGTGTGTGTTTGTATGTGTGTGTGTGTGTACGTGTATGTGTATGTGTGTGTGTATGTGTGTGTGTGTGTGTGTATGTGTGTGTGTTTGTGTGCGTGTGTGAGTGTGTGTATGTGTGTGTGTGACTTACAAGGAGAGTATCCAGCCAACTTGGGATAGAAATTGTTCCAGAAGTAGACGTCGTTCATGCGGTAGTTCTCCATGTTGCGCGAGTGGTTGCGTATGCTGAGGTAGCTGTGGTTCTGTGGGTTGTACTCTCTCCATGACACGTTGCGGAAGTAGTAGACCTCTTCTGTACGTGGTGTCGGCTCCCTGGGGGAGAGAGGGAGGGCGGAATTATTTTTTCATAAGAGTTTAATGTCACCAGCAACACAAATTGCTTTTATAAGCGTTGAAGATAAGAAGAATTTTAGTTTTTAGTTAGTGTTTTACGGCACTTGCAACACAATAAGGTCATATGAGCACCAGAAGATTAGAGGAATACAAGAGAGTAACAAACAAAAAAACCGAAAAAAGGAGATAAGGACGATAGATGTTTCATAGGAAAGAAGAAGCAAACCACACAAGAGCACCCCCCAACCACCCATGGAATTATTTTTTATCAGAGTTTTATGTCACCAGCTCTGTAACTAAAAAGTTACATCGAGCCTAACCTATTATACGGGTGCGAAGCTAGGACAATCAATAGACAGCTGGAAAGAACAATTGAGGCGACAGAGTTGTGGTTCATAAGACGCATGCTGCGTATCCCATGTACAGCTAGAAAAAAAAAAGAAGAAGTCTTGGTTGAAGCAAATTGCAGATGACAGCTTATGAGGAATATACGAAAGCGACAGGCAAATTTCATTGAACACACAATGGGGAAAGAAGCATTGGAGAATATTGTAAGGAAAGGCAAGTTTGATGGAACGAGATGCAGAGGCAGACAGACGGAAAAGATACTGGACAAGTTAACAACAGGGCTGGGAACAGCAAGAACAACAGACACCAACGCTGCAACGCAAGACAGAGTGAAGTGGAGGTCCATGATCACCTACGCCAGTCGTCAAGGCAAGGCACCGGATGATGGTGATGACACCAGCAACACAAATAGTTTATATAATCGCTGAAGATTCCATGTGTTACAAGGGAGTAACATGCAAAGAAAAAAGGGAAGAGAGATAAAGACAATAGATGTTTGATAGGAAAGAAGGAGAAAACCACACCAGAGAATCAACCAACCACCCACAGGGTGGGCTTTGAGAGAGATTTGGGAGGACACTTTAGGAGGGGGAAAAAATGGGAGCTTTATTTAGCTGCACATGTTCTATGCCCAAAATGATTCAAATTGAAAAGGCAGAAAGACACTGAATCAGAAGCAAATGATATAAGCCCCTATTAACATAAATTCAGATCATTCATAAGGTAAACAGATGCCTTTTCAAAGAGAGAGGAGGACGAGAAGAAGAAGAGTTATACACACAAGTAAAACACAAGAAGTCCTGGAATCATTCGTGGGGGATGCTGACCAAGATGGCCCAAAACAGACAGAGCTGGAGATCCTTTGTTGCTGCCCTAAGCGCCAGATAGCGTAACGGGTAGTAAATGAGTAAGTAAAAAACACAAGAATAGCTGGAGAAATAAAAACAGCAGTGCCAGAACACTCCCAGAACGGACGAAACAGCAAAGGTATTCTTCTCACCCTGCTCAAATTGTCAAAAATGCTACGTCCCGAGTTCTGCTAATTAGTTGTCACAGAAAGACTATTTACAGAACCTTATTCCCTCGTTTTGCTACTGATCTGTGGCTGAGAAACGCAACACTCTGAGACCTCTAAAAGTATAAGTGAGCCATCGTGATGAAATCAGGCGCTGGTCAAAATAATAAAAATGAAGAAACAGGCATTTTTCCGCCAGTTAGGCCATTTTTATCGAAATTTCGTTTTCTGGCTCAAAACCTTTCATGCCCATTAAAGAACAAATTTCAGTATGGATTTTACTGAAAAGGACTGTATAAAGGCAGAAAAGATGTAAATTTTCAGTTTCCAGGGACTCTCAAGCTAAGGAAATAACTCAACTTTGGCGGCCATTTTCTCACTAATTTTACTTATGAAACTAGACTACCCCTACTCGTATCCAACATAAATGGATATTTTTTTCATCAAAAGCAAGGCAAACGGACAAGCTTTAAGATGATACCAATAACTCCATAGGTCCCAAAATTGACGAGAGCCTGATTCCACCGCGTCGTGACAGATTATTATGAACAATGCGGAGCGTACCCTCCGCTGGTGAAGTTGGTGATCATGGTGATCATGTACTCGGACATGTTGCGGTCGTTGAAGTCGTACAACTGTCGCGGGTACAGCCCCAGGAGGTTTATGTACGTCTCGTTCACGAAGGGTAGACCAAACACGTAGTCCAGGTCCTGGCCGTGGGAAATACCTGAAAGAAAGAGAGAAAAAAATTGGTTGTTTTTTTTTTGTTTTCTTCACTGCAACTTTGTCAAACGCATTGTTCATAGACAAAACCTCCTTCAATCGCAAATATCATGACATTTATTTAAGACAGATGTGTGCTTTTTTCATCAAAAGTAAGATAAATGAACAAACTTTAGGATGATACCAATAACTCCATATCCCCAAAAATTGACGAGTGCCCGATTCTACCACGTTGTTACACAAATATTTAAAAACAAGTCATGATAATATACTACAGACAATTTTTAAAATATGTCATGAAAGTAGTGAAAAAAAAACACGAGCATGTCACAGAGTAAGTGTGTCACTTAAAAGCAGCCTCCGTGTGATTTTGAACCATACTTTTATTAAATGCTAGGGATGAAGATAACAAATTATTTCCAACTTTTTGGTCACTCTATGCGAGGAGTTAGGAATAAGGGTTGTGTCCTGCCCCCCCAGGACAGCCTGGCAGGGATCTAGAGTAAGCGCCAAACAAAAATTTTTATTTTACTTAATACTAAGATTAATATGCATATTATTTCCAACATTAGAGCATCATCATTGCCACCATAAATAATCATCATCAAGATCACCATCATCCTCATCATCACCGACTAAACAATTCCCCTTTTTCTTGTTTCGTTTTTCTAGAAAACATAACAATTTGCAAAATGTCAATACGTTTTTACGAAACCTACAAATATGGGCACCAAAATCAGGATATGGGGCAATAAAAAAAAAGGTGCGTCCACATACCTCTCCACTGGGGTATATAGTTCCTCCAGGAGCTGTACTGAAACACGTAGAAGTAGACGCGGGAAAACTGCACGTGCCAGCGGAGAGACTCAGTAATGGCCGCCCCAAACATGTAGTCTGTCATCATCTGTAGGGGTCAAACAGTGCACATGTAATCAATTTGGGTTTTAAAACAGCAGTTGTTGTTGTTGTAGTTGTTGTTATCCAGCAACAGCTGGGCTCTCGCCCTTCTGTCCAATGCCATGTAGTGATAAGTGCAGGTTTGCTGCAGTTGCTGTAATGTTCCATAGAGTGTGTTGTCAATGTTAGGTCTCGGAGGGAGAAGGGAAGCTTAAAAACAGCAGTAAAACTTGTGAATTTTTTCAGTTAAAAAAAAATATATATATATTTGTTAAAAAAAACAAAAAACAACCAAGAAAGAATTTTAATAAAACTGATAATTCTTTCCCAACTTTGGAAACATTAAGTTTTCATGCTCTCACATAAAGCTCTTGTCTTATCAAATAAACTTTACTCTTTATCTCTGAGGGGGGTAAACCCAGTACGCCGGGGCCCTTTTTGGTGCTAAATCTAAAAATGACAAGAACGTCATTAAATGGGTCATAAAACCGAAACTAGCAAACGTATTTTCATAGTTCTTTATCTAATGAATGAACTTCCAGTATAAGAGACCTGTTTTCTGCAATTGCCGAAAAGTAATTTGATGTCGAAGTCGTAATAAAGGAATGTGCCCGAGCCGCTGTCAGTGGCTCACCGGCAGAGTAGTTCCGACCGCGAGCCGCTGGGAGTGGCTTGCCGGGATAAAGAAAACATTTTAATCAAATCAATACCTGATAGTAGTAGTAGAGGTTTTACGGCGATCGCAACTGCATAAGGTCAAATGAGCGCCAGAAGATTAGAGGTGTTACAAGACAGTAACAAACATAAAAAAGAAGAAGGGGAGATAAGGGCGATAGATATTTGATAGGAAAGAAGAAGCAAACCACACTAGAGCACCCTCCAACCACCCATCTGAGTCACTTGATTAGACATAAAGGTCTTGTACGTATAGCACTTAATAGAAAAGTAGATGGAAAAAGAGGGAGAGAAAGAATACCTCTCTTAATTAAAGAACTTGAACAAACGAGGGAAGGCAAAAGACCAGGTTAATACAGATTTAAAAAAAAATTTTTTTTTTAGAGAAACCAATCAAAGAAATGAGATTGCTGATGTTTTCCTAAGACGTAATCAAAAATAAATACACATTCTGTAATAATTTCATCTTCTTCCTCATCGAGAAGTTCCACCCCATTATTGTTTTCTGGATTTTTTAAATAATCAAATTTTATGTTTTTTCACATATTCATAACTCTTCCACGCAGCACTTACTTCAATGAGCTTCTTCCTGACGCAGCTCTTGTTGGTGGGCTGGGGCCAGTGAGTGTACTGGAACTCCATGGCGTCAAAGACTGAGTTCTGGTCAGCAACATCGCGGTAACGGATGAACTCGTTCAGGATGCTTTGGAACTGCGGCTTGTCAATTCCGTCAATCAGGTTGGGAAGATTGGCTGAGTTGCGGGGAGGGGGAGAGAGGGGGAAGGCTTTTTAAAAGTTTCATTGAGAGTTCAGTTTTTTAAAGTTTTAGTAGAGGTTTGCGGCGCTCGCAACTGCATACAGTCATATGAGCACCAGAGGTTAGAGGTGTTACAAGACAGTAACAAACATAAAAAAGAAGAAGGGGAGATAAGGACGACAGATGTTTCATAAGAAAGATGAAGCAAATCACACCAGTGCGCCCACTAACCACCCACATTGAGAGTTTAACTGCACTTGCAACATAATTAGGTCATATACGGGACGAAGATTAGAGTTGTTAATAGAGAGTAGGATACAAAGAAAAGACCCAGAAGAGATAATAATGACAGATGTTTGATGAGAAAGAAGGTGCAAATCACACTATAGTGCCTGCCAACCACCCACATGAAGGAAGGGGAGAGGAGAAATATACAGATGTATGATTTTTCTTTCGATCAGACAAGTGTGTCGGTAATCTTTTTTTAAAAAATTGCTTTTGTTGTGGTTGTTTTCTTTTCTTTCTTTTTTTTTTTGGGGGGGGGGGTTGATTACAGACAATCACAAAAGACTGAAAAAAAGTAGGACCCACCTGACTGACCCTCCAACCACTTACTCTCTTACTTTTCTCCCGTGAGAGGGCAGCAAGTGCAAAAGAAAAGTAAAAGACAAAAAGGAAACTCACGAATGAAGTAGGCGCCCTCGTCCTGCACCATCCCGGCCAACAAAGGCACTCTCATCTGCCTAGCCTGGCGTCTCAGATCATGCGGGGGGTCGGGCAGGAAGGCGTTGGCCACTCCGACGATGTCACCGTCCACCACTGGGGCCCACGGGTTACCGATCTTGCCAGGCTGGACAACAGAGTGTTTTATGTTTTCGTGAGAGTTTTACAGCATTTGCAACACAATTAGGTCATTTAAGTGCCGAAGATTAGGGGTGTGACAAGAGAGCAACAAACAAAAAAAAAGAAAGAGGACAGATAACGAGGACAAAAGTGTGATAGGATAGAAGGAACAAACCACAAGTTAGTTTTAGTTTTAGTAGAGGTTTTACAGCCCTTCAAACTGCACAAGGTCATATGAGCGCCAGAAGATTGGAGGTGTTACAAGAGAGTAACAAACATAAAAAAGAAAAAGGGGAGATAAAGACGATAGACGTTTGATAGGATAGAAGAAGCGAACCACACCAGAGCACCCGTCAATCACCCACACAAACCACAACAGAGCACCCGCCCACCATCTACTGGGTAGAGTGTGGACAGCACAACATAAGTTGTTTTATAAAGAGTAGCACATTGCCATGAAATAGAAAAATAATAAAATACATTTTTATTGATCCCAAAAGGGCAATTTGGTTTACAATGGCAAAGCATACATACATACATACAAACATACAAACATACATACATACATACGTACATACATACATACATACATACATACATACGTACATACATACATACATACATACATACATACATACATACATACATACATACATACATTCATTCATAAATACATCATTATGAATACATACATACATAAATACATGCACAAATATATACACAAATACACAATAATACACAAGCACAGAACAATTTACATAACAACCATGCCATTGTCGGTCATCACTGAGAAGCATCCTGTTTATTGACCTAGGGCTGTCACGTCTTGCTCAAGGGCACACCCCAGTGACCACCCATCTAAACCCTGTGTCCCCAACACTCGCTTGACATTACTTGAGTCTGAACTCACTATTCACTTAGCCACTGGAGCCCTCAACTCCATGATCTATCAAAGAGTTTGAGTCCGAGTTAAGAGAAACTTACATTGTCACCCAGCTGTTCAAACGAATTAAGCCTAAAATTCGGAAATATAAAAAAAAAGCAACTTCTGAATCCATGGTACCAGGTGCATGTTCTGGACAAATACTTTGTCGAAATTGTATTTGTCAATGTTCCAGGTTGGGAAAAAATATATTTACACATACAGGGATTGCATATCAGAAAAAGGTCAGCTTTACAAAAGAGGTAATACCATATTTGACGATAGATCATGGACTCTAACAGGCACTGTGCCTTAAGTGACTGCATGGTCATCAACCTTGTGCAGTTTAGAGCGCCGTAAAACACTTACCAAAAAAAAAAAGGAGTCTTATACTAAGTAGTCGATTATGAACAGAAATGGAAAGAGTGAACTCACCCTTAAAGGCCCCATTACTTTCATGTACACCAGATTTCACCACAATGCCACACACGTATCGTGGATTTGCACAGGTGTGACAACAGATATCAATTCAAAAATACATTGTAGATTTGCAAAAGTGGGCCGATATCCCAAGACCATAAAATGAATCGAAAAGACAAAAAAAGTGAGCTCACCCTCATAGGCACCATGGCCGAGGCATTGACGATCTGCTCAAAGCTGCGGGAGTACCTCAGACAGTCAATCATCTGCTGAGAGTCCCCGGTCGGACACCCCACCTCGCGACACAGACGTCGGGCGTATTCTTGTGAGTCCTCGCGAGACAGCACTGCCCACTCGCTCAGCTCCGAGCCGCTCAGCATAATGGCCTGGTGGAACAGTCCTGAAAGAGAAGGCGGAAATGATAAACAGTGGAACTCCGCAGACTGAACTTGAAGCTGAACAACTTTTAAAACGAAATTCCCCCTTTTGACATAAAATCAGGTAAAGTAACTTTTTAAAATATGCGATATATAAAAAAAAAGAACCACAACTCTCACAAGGATGGATAATGAATCTTTTACATGTTCATAACAAGTTTGAAAAAACAATAAGGATCATAAAAGTACGCAAAGTAACTTGAATACTTTTTGAAAAAGGCAAAAAGTTAAAATTCATTAGAGTACAAATCTGTAACAAAACATAGATATTTATGAAAGATTCACCCACTTTTCTTGCACCAAACTCGGGACACATTCTTATTTTACTTTTAATGAATTCTACTATTGTGCTGAACGGTAACAGTCTAGTTCAGGTCTCCCATCCTAAAATAAGTTAAAATCATCTTTCACACATGACATCCTGGCTACCTCTATGTGGGCCCCATAAAGAATGGAGACCACAGATATGTGAAATAGGTCAAGCAAGTTCCAAATGGAGAACTCAACTCGACCTTTACAGTGCTTAAGTTCAACCATATTATGTTTAACATTTGCAAGTACCGTCTGTGACTTTAGTCGCCAGGCCTTAGAATGCCCTCATTATCACAGGCAATTTTAGTAGCCGACTTGACCAGACACACTAAATATAATTAAATAACTTACAGACCCACTGCACTGAAGTAAATACCAAAGAAAGTCAAACTATATGATAAGTGAATGAATAGTTGATGAAACCTCTGTGAATTTTTAAACGTGTTTCTTGGGTTGTGAAGGCTTTTTAGTTTAAAAAAAATTCTATCGGGGCTTCAACGTTATAAACTGGTGGGGTACTAGAGGGTTTTCACTATTTATTGAGCCTTCGGTACAGTTAGTTAAAAACAGCACCAATGTAATTAACAAATGTCACAAGCATCGTACCGACACTGCGCGGAGACAAGAGGTGAATGCCCACGCTGGCTGCCCCTGAGCTGTGACCCATGATAGTGATCTTCTTGGGGTTGCCACGGAAACTCTGAATGGCACGCTTGACAAACTGCAGTGCACGGCGCTGGTCAAACAAGCCATAGTTCCCGGGAGAGTAGCGGTCACCAGTACTGAAGAAACCTGGTAGAGGCAAAGCAGAGAAAACAAAATAAGTTACAGGGGGGGAGGGGCTGTAAGTTTGTCAAATAATGATGTTCTTTTTAGCTGCCGAGTGGTGTCTAATATGTAGCTGTTTTCTACCAGCGACTTAAACATTTTGCGACAACGGGTCACATATTGATGGCAACTGCAAGAAATAGGTCAATACTTTTTTTGTGTTTTAAAACCAATGTCGAGGTGGTTCTGTGGGTTCTCAAATTTTAAAATAAGGAACAAAATCATGGTTCAGCATGAACTATAAACGGTATAAAAATACTGTGGGCTGACCTTTGAGACTTCCCTCATTATTTACATGGCATATATATATTTTTCTTCCTGTTGAAAAAAAATGTTCAAGAAACTAGTTCCATGGTTAGTTAAAGCATAAAACCATCAATATATCATGCACACTGTTACTGTCATTCTATAAAGGCTTAATTCATTCTCTGAAGTTTGGAAAAATTCCCCCCCCCCAAAAAAAAACGGCATCAAAATAAAAAAAAACGTTTGAGTTTTACTCTATCAATTACTAACAAGGAAAAAAATAATGAAACAACACAGAACTGTAATATGAGATGCCTCTTCATGTCTTTTCTCGAATAACGGCTTTTATCTGGAAAATCCTAGAAATAGATTACTTTTCCAATCCAAAGACTATCTGAGTTTGAACCCTTCGTCCTGTTAAAAATTGATTTGGGCCCCATGTAGAATAAAGCTAACGAGAATATGAGATTAGGCCTGGACATGACAACGAAGACTTCCCACTGACCCAGTGCGTTGAGCCTGTAGTTGACCACGACCACCACGATGTTCCTCTGAGACAGGAAGACGCCCGGCCACTGCTTGGACGCGCCCATGATGAACCCACCGCCGGGGAAAAACACCAGGACAGGGTACAACAACGGGCTGTTTGTCGGACTCTCATTTGTATTCTGTAAGGAACCAGCGGAACAGTTTTAGCTTTTTTAGTAAGAGTTTTATGGCACTTGCAACACAACAAGGTCATAAAAGTGCTGAAGATTAGAGGTGTTACAAGGGAGTAACAAACACAAAAAAGACGGAGGGAGATAAAGACGATAGATGTTCGATACGAAAGAAGAAGCAAAACACATCAGATTACCCGCCAACCACCCACGAAACAAATACTCAAGCAAAACATTTCAAAAGTAATATATAAAATTAATCATGAAAATTTGCATTCTGAGGATGCAGCATAAAACCTCCATGCAAAATGATCAAGAAAGCCTGTGTCTTATTTTTTAGCTTTAACGTGCTGAATATCACAAAATATCATAACATACATGATACATTATTTTTAAAAAAAAACAATCAAAAAGGAATACCAGAACTACTAACAGAGTGAGGACTAAAGAAAACTGAAATTGTACTGACCACCTTGAAAAATAAAAGCACTGAGATTTTCTTTACACCAGCAGAAAGCTGTCATAAAAAATCTGTGCTCTCTTCAAAGGAAAACTAAACAAGCTGACTTACTGTATCTAACTTTTAGCTGAATAGTCCACAGGTGGAACACAGAGGGTGTATGGAAGTAAACCAGATCGCAAACAAAAATCACTTTAAAAACATAAATACCACCACATTTACTGAAAACAAGCATCTACCACAAGCCAAAACAACAACAACAAAAAAAAACCCGATCTAGCTGGGAAAAAACTTACATTTGGTGAGTAAATATCCAGGTAGAGACAATCTTCCGCTATGTCATTGAAGCCCCAGACAGTCTCCTTGACCAGCCACGGCATCTGCGGGCACGCTGGCTTGTGGCGGGTGGCATCGTATGTGCCATACCATGACGGTTCTTCGTCCACGTTCTGTTGGATTTAAAGAAATGAAGGAATAGATTGGTCCAATTTGTCAGCGTCGTTGAGAGAAAACGATTCAAGAATAAAATTGTTATAACTAAAAAGCATTTTGTTTTTTATCTAAAATGAAGGAACAAGTTAATCAATTAATGGAGTGAGTAAAGGGAATCATATTGAACCTTCATTTAGTACAGGAAAGAAGCAACATTTAAAATTTTGATAAACAACAGAGCCCCCAAAAAAGTCATGTAGTCGTATCACCTCCAACCAGTGCACCTTCCAACCACTTATACATCGCTCAAGAAAAAGAATTATTTAATGCAAGGCTGCTTGAGCATACACATGCTGTCCAAGTACACAACATAAAAACAATGAAGTGGCTAGCCGTACTTAGATCTAGGTTTGGCCCAACTGTTAAGTACACAGGTCTCATTAGATCTAGATCTAGTAATTATTCAGGTTCAAATACATGCAAGTCAGTAAGGCACCTTTTGGTTTTGTCTGAAATACAAATACTTTAGGCATTGCGAACTAAAAATTTCATTTACAATTCAACCATCAATATTAAGTACGGCTAGCCTGACAGTTTAGCCGTCCTTAAGTAGGGCTAGCCTGGCTGTCTACCCGTATTTAAGTACGGCTAGACTGCCAGTCTAGCCGTACTTATCTTAAGCCTTATTAACATTAGAAAACAGGAGGTTTAAAATACATGCCCTGTCATTAAGGTACCTGGTTTCATCTCAAATACAAATACTTTAGGTACTGCACACTAAAAATGAATATTTACAATTCAGTAGGCCTATTTTTTGTAAATGGTCAGTCTAGCCATCATATATTAAGAATAAGTACGGCTAGACTGCGAGTCTAGCCGTAATTAAGTACGGCTAGACTGCCAGTCTAGCCGCCATTAAGTACGGCTAGCCTCTTCCTAAAAAATTTTTTTTTTAATGTAGTCTGTATGCACCCTGTGGCTGGTCTTGGCATGCAGCACAAGACAGTACAGCCAGGGCAGCAACTACAAAAGAAACTTAAAGAGAAATTGTACGCTAAAAATGACCAAACATAACAACACCAGTTCCACTTTAACACTTTGCGACAAGTAAAACGTCGGTGGCCTAGTGGTTAGGCTCTCGGACTCGCAACCGTAAGGTCGTGGGTTCGAATCCCGTCAGGGACCCGACGTTGTGTCCTTGGGAAAGGCACTTTGCACAAATTTTCCTCACTTCACCCAGGTGGAAATGGGTACCCAGCTATAGACAGTGAAAGATCTTGTCTGTTTGATAGTGTTTGAGCGCGTGAAATTCACAGCTTGCACTGTATGCTTCAGCGGAAGCTGAGAATGTTTCTGAGTGTTCTCAGAGGGTCTGCTGGGGTAATAATAGTTGTAAAGCGCATAGAGCAAGCTCTTGAGCATGGATATGCGTTATATAAATGCAATTATTATTATTATTATTATTATAATAAAACAATGAGTGTGCGAAAAACAAAATTATGTAAAACACTTGAACATCTGAGAATTTCCACTAAAAGTAAGTTGGTAGTAACTTTAAATCGAAAATTATTCATTATTAATAACAAATGAGTTTTTCAAATTCTACCCCAAAAAAAGCAGAGACACAAATGCAAGAATTTAATATTTTTCACTAAAAAAAGACAACTCTAACAGCTTTTGAACAAAAATGAATTAGTCATACTGAAGTTTTCAGTCAGTCTCTAACTCAAAGATTTTATAATGCAGGGCCTGCAGGCCTATTGATGGCCCCTACAGTAAAGTTCAGAAGAGAAAAGAATCTATTCAGCCTTAAGCACCAGTTAAAACAACCAACTTTTCAAGTAAATTTTAAACAGTTCATTGTAAAAATGAGGTAATAATTTAATTCATAAAAATTAATGATTGACTAGGAAAACAGAACATCGTTTTATGTCAATAGAGATCGATATCAATCAAAGATCATCAGACAGTCTTCAACTTACATGAAAACGGTATTTCTCCTTCCATTCCTCCCCAAACTGTTTCAAGGTCTTTGCATAGGGTACACCTCGAAACACATTGATGAGTCTTTGAGGAAGTGCTTCATACTGGGATCTATAGCTGACTCCTTCGATCTGAACAAACAAGAAACAATTTGTTAAAATTTTATTTTCCCTGACACATGAACATGACAGTGATGACAAATTACATTTTTAAATCCTAAACATTATGTCTATCAGAATAATCTGATTGAAGAAACAATTTTAAAAATAGCTTTGTAAATAAAAAATACCCCCATAAAAACATAAATGCATGGAAGGGTGTATGATAATTTTTTATAAAGATCACAGTGAATGTATTTAAAGCTTGGACGGGCTTAGAAAGTAACTACAGGTTTAGAAAATAAAAATTTTCAAAATGGAGCTAAATAATTGGGATACTGAAAACTTCAGGCCACTTTAAGTTTAAGGTAAACTTTAGGTTGTTCACCATTGCCATGGCACAGGCAGCCAGCCATCTGAGCCACAAGTCTATGTTACCCCAATCAACATTGAGGCCAGAATAGTAAGTTACAACATGATTCAAACTTTATCAAATAAAAAATATGAAAGAATTGGAGATATCGCACAACAATGGAAATGCTACCTCAAGTCTGCAAAGCAATCACCTATTCCTATCTAGAACTAGACATTAAATCTAAATTGTTATTGCTGAGTAAAATTTATAAGTTTGTTCATAACTCGTGTCATAATTACATTATCAGACTTTCCAAGGTCTAGAAAACCCAAATCGTTAAACATATATCATCCCCAGGAATGACCAGTATTAAACATTAGTTTGACATTGATCCATCAAAAGGGTAATTTTCCGCTCCATCGCATGGTTTTGCTTGAAATACTTAAATATGACTTTGATTGAGATAATCCAGGTTTTTCATAATGATGTTAAATGAACAAACACTTTATGATATTTATGCAAAATATCATGTGAGGGACTTCCCACTGTTTCACAACATCCTTTTACATGGTGGTATAAACATGCAAGAGTAGCATGCTGATTACTCAAAAGGGAAGAGAAGAAGAGGCAAAAATATGCTTGTGTATATATATGAGTTATAAGATTATACCACCTTAAAGTTGCTGTGTTATAATTTTCCAAAACACGTCACAAACAACTGATTAAAAAGTGTAGCAACATAGAGTTACTGTGTTATCAAGATTATCTTGAAGTTGGAATACAATTACTTGAATGAAGACAATAATTTTTTTTTTCACATATGGCCACCTCTATTCTCACCCCTGGTGAGAAAAGCACAGGCGAGCCTTTTGGCTATTCTCACCCAGCATGCGTTTACTGTGATAGCCTAGGCCAACCAGTGTAGCGTTCACTGTGAACCACAGAATTCTACACTACTGCGATAACAGAAGTCACGTAGAATTCTGTGCCATGAACAAACGTTCCAGCACTCTTGTGTAAGCGTGTCAGTGGGCAGGGAGAGAGAAAAAGAGAGAGAGAGAGAGGAGTAGCGAGCGCGAGAACTTCCGGACAAAACAAAATGGCGATCCGCGTAGTTCTGCTCGATTCGAAAAGTTAAATAGCTGTAATACATCTTTGTAGAGGACCATATTAATTTACTTTTTTGTGTATTTCTAAAACATCATTTTTTATCTTTGTTTTGGTCAATTTGATCGTCCACACCGATAGACAGGAGGCCTATTCAGAAAGAGAGAGAGAGAGAGAGAGAGAGAGAGAGAGAGAGAAAGAGGAGGAGGAGTAGATCTTGAGAGAACTTCAGGGCAAAACAAAATGGCAACCGTGTAGTTCTGCTTGATTAGAAAAGTGAAATAGCCGTAGCATCTTTGTAGACGATCAAATTTGCGTACTTTTGCGCTATAACGTCATTTTTTCTTTGGTTTTAACTCATTCGCTACGCCGAGCCGTGGGGGGGGGCGGCGCGGCTAAAGTGCCGTCAGTACACTAAGCCGCCTCCGGCGGCTCGAGAACCGATCTTCAATTTTAGCTTAGATTCTCTTCCAATCCACATTATATCCATGACGTTAAAATAAAGGTCATAATATAATGTTGACTTCCGGGTCAAGCATTTCCACTGAACATCGGAAATTTAGATTCAGTTTTGAAACACGATTTCGTAGTTTATTCGACTTTGTTTTATCGCGATGGCAAAATTATAGCCCGGACACCAGTCATTATTTTGCCCACTAAAGAAATGTTTGACTCTTTTTTATAATATTGATACGATTGGACTCATAAATTGCCAATGCACTGTTATTGAGAAATCAATATTTTTGAGTGCTAGATCTTAGGTCTAGATCTAAATTGTCAAAATAATATTTTTTTCTCACCAAAATCACTACTTTTTGATGAAATTACACAAAAGTGCCACTCAAGACATGTATCTATAGAGGTTTATTCCAAATGCAATTCTGAATAATTCCATGATAACATACGAGTGGGTTTTTTTCTGTTTGTGATCGTTTTTCAAGATTATAAAATTTTATTATATTTTTTTTTTCAATATATCGGATGTTATGATCCATATGGTATGTATGTAAATAACAGCTAACTTTTCAATATTTTCCAGTTCTATATTCATTTATGGTTATTTTGATGTATCATTTGACTAGGTGCAAACATATTTTTTGGAAGAGGCTAGCCGTACTTAATGACGGCTAGACTCGCAGTCTAGCCGTACTTATTCTTAATATGATGGCTAGACTGACCATTTACAAAAAATAGGCCTACTGAATTGTAAATATACATTTTTAGAGTGCAGTACCTAAAAAGTATTTGTATTTGAGATGAAACCAGGTGCCTTAATGACAGTGCATGATGTATTTTAAGAAAGTGGCTATTCTCACCCCCCCGGAAGTTCTCGCAAGATCAACTCCTCCCCTCTTCTCTCTCTCTCTTTCTGAATACTCTCTATCGGTGTGGACGATCAAATTGACCAAAACAAAGTTAAAATATGATGTTAAAACACAAAAGTAAATTAATTTGGTTGTCTACAAAGATGCTACGGCTATTTAACTTTTCGAATCGAGCCGAACTACGCGGGTCGCCATTTTGTTTGGCCCGGAAATTCTCGCGCTACTCCTCTCTCTCTTTCTCTCTCTCTCTCCACTGCCCACAGACAAAATTGTACGCTTTTAGTAGGCTACAGTTGTAATGGAATGTTTGTTCACGGCACAGAATTCTACAATTTTTCTGTTATCACAGTGTAGAATTCTGTGGTTTAGGGTGAACGCAAAATTTGGTGAACGCGCACCGGGTGAGAATAGCCACAAGACTCGCCTGCACTATTCTCACTCCGGGTGAGAATAGAGGTGGCCTATTTTAAACCTCCTGTTTTCTAATGTTAATAGGGCCTCTAAGCTAAGATAAGTACGGCTAGACTGTCAGTCTAGCCGTACTTAAGTACGGGTAGACAGCCAGGCTAGCCGTACTTAAGGACGGCTAGACTGTCAGGCTAGCTGTACTTAATATTAATGGCTGAATTGTAAATGAAATTTTTAGTTTGCAATGCCTAAAGTATTTGTATTTCAGACAAAACCAAAAGGTGCCTTACTGACTTGCATATTTGAACCTGAATAATTACTAGATCTACATCTAATGAGACCTGTGTACTTAACAGGCTTGAGTCGATAGGGCCAAACCTAGATAAGTACGGCTAGACTGGCAGTCTAGCCGTACTTTTAAGTACGGCTAGCCACTTCGTATTTTTTTAGTTTCACCAATGATTAGTAATTTTTTATTTTCAAATTTTATCCGCATCCATTCAAAATTGCGTGGCATAATTAATAATTGCCTCTTACAGGAACCAAAGTTGAAAAATACATAAATAAACATAATTACAGATGTATTCTACAAACATACTGAAAATATTGAGATCTAGGCCTATATGGTAGCGTCAATTGCCACCGTTTGACGCGGTGGCAATTCCACTGTGTGAAGCGGTGTCAAGTCTGAAAACAACACTATCTTTAGCATTGTACATAATGTGTGTCTAATGGGTCAATTTGTTCTCAATAATTTCATGGTAGTGTCAATTGCCACCGAGTGATGCTGTGGCAATTGACAAAAATTGACTTTTTGTCAATTGCCACAGAGTAAATTGGAGCTCTTTTGCGTTGGTGGGTAGATCTAGCTAGCTAATTGTGCTCGGTTTTGTGCGTTCGCCTCTCTGTCCCTCTGTGTGCGTGTGTGTGTTTGTGTGTGTGTGTTTGTGTGTGTGTGTTTGTGTGTGTGTGTTTGTGTGTGTCTTTTCCTGACCCCCGTCCCCCGATTTATGTTCCCCAATATACCGTGAATTTCTGCTTGAATTTGTGAGCGTTTGTGACCTTGTACTTCTAGAATTGCCTGTGTTGGTTCTACACCAAAGTGTAGGCTAAGGCTAGGCTAGATCTAGGCCTATGTGTCATTGAAAACACGCCAAGTCGGCCCAAGTTGGTACCGTTGACTAGATTCTAGATGCTCGTCCATTGATGAAAGAAACCAAATCTATTCTCACCCGGAGTGAGAATAGTGCAGGCGAGTCTTGTGGCTATTCTCACCCGGTGCGCGTTCACCAAATTTTGCGTTCACCCTAAACCACAGAATTCTACACTGTGATAACAGAAAAATTGTAGAAATCTGTGCCGTGAACAAACGTTCCATTACAACTGTAGCCTACTAAAAGCGTACAATTTTGTCTGTGGGCAGTGGAGAGAGAGAGAGAAAGAGAGAGAGGAGTAGCGCGAGAATTTCCGGGCCAAACAAAATGGCGACCCGCGTAGTTCGGCTCGATTCGAAAAGTTAAATAGCCGTAGCATCTTTGTAGACAACCAAATTAATTTACTTTTGTGTTTTAACATCATTTTTTAACCGAAGTGGCTAGCCGTACTTAAGTACGGCTAGACTGCCAGTCTAGCCGTACTTAGATCTAGGTTTGGCCCTATCGACTCAAGCCTGTTAAGTACACAGGTCTCATTAGATCTAGATCTAATTATTCAGGTTCAAATACATGCAAGTCAGTAAGGCACCTTTGATTTTGTCTGAAATACAAATACTTTAGGCATTGCAAACTAAAAATTTCATTTACAATTCAGCCATCAATATTAAGTACGGCTAGCCTGACAGTCTAGCCGTCCTTAAGTACGGCTAGCCTGGCTGTCTACCCGTACTTAAGTACGGCTAGACAAGAAGTCTAGACGTACTTAAGTACGGCTAGACTGCCAGTCTAGCCGTACTTATCTTAGGCCCTATTTACATTAGAAAACAGGAGGTTTAAAATACATGCACTGTCATTAAGGCACCTGGTTTCGTCTCAAATACAAATACTTTAGGTACTGTACACTAAAAATGTATATATTTACAATTCAGTAGGCCTATTTTTTGTAAATGGTCAGTCTAGCCATCATATTAAGAATAAGTACGGCTAGACTGCGAGTCTAGCCGTACTTTTAAAAGTACGGCTAGACTGCCAGTCTAGCCGTCATTAAGTACGGCTAGCCTCTTCCTTTTTTAACTTTGTTTTGGTCAATTTGATCGTCCACACCGATAGATCTAGACAGTATTCAGAAAGAGACAGAGAGAGAGAGAAGAGGGGAGGAGTTGATCTTGCGAGAACTTCCGGGCGGGTGAGAATAGCCACTTTCTCCTTGATGAAATTAGACTAGATCTAGATCTAGATCTAGAATATCTACATCTAGATCTAGTTCTTGAGAACAAATTGACCCATTGCCGGCATTGCTAAAGAGTGTTGTTTTCAGACTTGACACTGCTTCACTCGGTAGCAATTGACAAAAAAAGTAAATTTTTGACAATTGCCACCGCGTCACTCGGTGGCAATTGAGCCACGCTACCAAACGAAAACACGTATTTTTTTCTATGACAATAAATTATAAATGACATGTCAGTTGACATGATCTTGATTGTCTTGATTCATCTTGCATTTTGCATCTGAAACGGAAAAGTTACTCACCTCACCATAAGGCGTATTCACAAAGACTGGACCCACAATAGGTTCAACTAAACTCTCCGAATTGATCCAAGACAATATAAATACTATGAGACCAAATCCATATCTTTGAAGGGACGCCATAGCATTTTCCAGCACAACAACGGACGCTTTTCACTTTTCTTTCAAGCACTTCCTGCTTTCAGACATCCATTTCAAAACAAAGATGGTGGACGGGTATTACTGATTTCCTTAAACACAACCGCTAAAGTATTTCAAGTGTTCGTTTAAAATTTGAATGACTGGGAATAGAAACATTCTTTTATAATGATGATTTGAACTCAGATATTCCTTCTTTTTGGATTTCTTTAACAAAGTCATAGATGCAAAAGAGTGGTCTTAGTAATAGATACACAAATGTATTTTTGTTTCAGTCAACTAGATCTAGACCAAACTGTAGGCTAAAACTAAGCCAAAACTGATATAAATCAGTGCTTTGGAAGAACAGTCTGCTGGATTTCATCACGTGACATATGAAGTTACTGACTGTAGTGTTTGTTGTTGATGGACGTTGAAAGTTACATCCAACGTCCAAGGGATTCTATTTAATTTTTATGTAGATTGCTCAAGAAGAAAGGCTTTAAAAATAATTTACAATGACTTGTGAATATGTTTTCAGAGGTGCGGTTAGCCCTATTTTTAAAATTATTATTATGATTATAATTGTTAGCCAGATGAGTCGGGAGGGAGGAAAAAGTGCAAACATACATGATACTTCTTGTCAACAATTGTCATTTTCTTGTCAATTCTCAAAATTACAATTTATTCATAATACATATTATTATTGTTGTTGTCATTACGTCTCCACTAGCCCTTGCTGCAACACTCAGGAGTTTAGCTTAAGAGCGCCGTGGCGTAGAGATAGGACCTCTCCGAATTTAATGAATGTCCATCTCCGTCGGTCTCCGATATAGGCCTACAGGCAGGGCCTATAAGACCCGACCAAATGGGAAAATTAGAGAAATCAATAAGTTATCCTTTCAACGAATGTCACAGTCATGTTGGACCGAGCTGAGTCTCAAACCTGGAATCTGCAATTACAATCTCATGATAATTACGAGTCTGGTAGTGTAACTAACCATAGACTATAATATCAAAATTTTGATGCATGGTTTAAGCTGGGGTTGAGTGTTGAGTGAATTCAGCGTACTGTTCAAGAACACACCCTTGCAACCAAACATCTGACTTTTGAGATCCTTTTTCCTATGAATTGTGTAATTATTTATGATGAATTTAGATTATATCATTTCATAAGTTTTAAATGTTTTAAATTTTATATGCATGCAGTGGAAAGGAATGTTTTGAATTGAGCCCCGATTGCAGAAGCCTGGTCAACGTTCCCATCACTATGGGTCGTGAAAGACGGGAATGTGCTGCTGTCATTAACAACAATGACATACAACAACAGTTAATTGAGGTGCACTCTAAGCCAGAGGACCCAGTGATCTACACGGGTGAATCGGTCAGGAGGGGTGAGAGAAGTGGGTGGAGTTTTGTGGTGTATAGTGGGAACAAACGGGTTCATTTCCCCATAGCATTAGCATGCCAGTGGCCACAAAAAGAACAACTTCAAGTATGAAAATGAAGATTGAAGCTGTACAAAGAGCGCTTCGCTAGCTTCAAAATGCAAGACCAAAAACTACCCATCTGATTCACAGACTCCCAGAGCATCCTGCAAGAAAGAGTTGAGAAAGGGCTGCTTCGGAGCGAATGGATGAACCCAATACAACACACATCACTTACAGCCATCACGTGGATATTCTGTCTTGAGCACTCTGGAGTGAAGGGCAATGAGGAGGCTGATAGGCTGGCAGGCTGTGCCATGGTTGATTGTGAGGTGAAATTAGACAAAGGAGAAGTGTTGAAGACCCTGGAGAAAAAGTTGGGGGATGATGAGACAGCAGAACACTAGGCAATCATCAGGATGTGGGAAATGGGGATAGAGAGAGGAGAAGGAAGAAGGGAATGACTATCTGGAAAGGAAAGACGTCGCTATTATCAGACCGCTACTGGAACAATTAGTTCCTTATCTTACGGGCTGAGAGGACTGAGCACTTAAAATTATGGACCTGTCTGGTGTGCACTTAGAATTATGGACCTGTCTGGTGTGCAAAGAATTTAATGTTGCCCAGGACAAGTAAGTAACAAGTTAATGTTTTGGCCCATCCCTGGCCTTTTCTCCTCCTAGAAATCGGATCTGTTTAAAGTGACTAATCTCTGGAATTATTTCTTCCGTAGACGTGACTGATATTTACTCTCGACTGTTCAACCACAGGGCAGCTATACATGGACTCGCCAACAACTTTGTCAAGGAGTTTGAGGTTTGTATTTTATTACTCTGTTTCTAACCTAAAATTCATTTCAGTAGACTTCTTCTCTTCCTGTGGGGGAAAAAAGACCCCAGCCGCTCAGCATACTTCAGACTTCATTATTTGCCGTAATGCCGCGTATAAAACCGAATGTGAATTCGGATATTTGGGATCATCTGGTAGTGCTGCACTGTTGGCCTTGAAGTTGTGGTCTATTAAAAATCTTTTTCTGTGAATTTGAATTGTTCTGAAGCATATATCATGTCTGATAATAATTATATGAATTTACTGAATGATGTTGTAAAGTAAGGGAAATACACATGAATTTGTGGTCTTAGTTTTACCTATTTTATCAATGTCATGATAGAGCCAAAAAATATATAATATATGAGTTATTTAATTATTCTTTAAAAACATTTTTGAAACTATCTTTTGATTTGTTTTTGAACATATTGTACTTAAACCCCTTCATTGCCTTATGGCGTACCTGGTACATCATGATTGGTAATTTTTAGCGCTGTGCAGTACCATGTACACCACAGAAGTTGGCAAAATTTGACGACCCTGGTTGCCTATGATGTTACAAGTACGTCACGCTAATAACCTGGCTCTTATTCTTCTGTATGAAGTTTTAGCCACAAGCGCTGCATAGATTCGTTTTCGGGAATAAAAGACGTGCATATATCGGTACCAAATTTGCTAGTAGATTATTTCTTTACTGCTAGGCTTGCAAGCGATCGATAAACATAGATCGTGGCTTGCGGGCGGTCGCATTCTTTCGTAAAATGTTAACAAAAAAATGACTTTGAAAAGGCAAATAAATTCACTTATTGATTTAGATTTGCAGGTCATTTGAAATTATGAAAGATGGGAGGAAATGGGGTGTACCGTGTATAGTATTACAAAAGTGAGAAAAGTGACAGTAATCGAAGTCCCAGTTTCAGGTCTAGACCGCACGTCCATTAACACTGAGACATTAGGCTGCTGTCCTGGGTAACGAGCTCAGCTGAAAATCAGTGCTGACAATAGGAACTTATTTATATATATACCCCCTGGCACCATGATGCTCCTAACCAAAGACTTCAGAAAGAGGTTGTTGCTAGTGTCGACATTAGCTCATGATCATGTTCAGAAATTTGTTTTACTTTTCCCAGGAACGCCGTGGGGAAAGTGACCATGTAGCGATTTCTCGTACTCTGGAACTGGTCACTGACTGCCGTGACCGAGCCTACCCGGTCACAATGAAGGACCTGGATAAAAACTTGGAGGAGTTGTCGAATGCATGTGAGATTTTTATGATAATACTGTTCTTCACTTTATTTTCCTTGTCCAATTTCACATGGAGATACAGTGGGGGTTTTTCTTGGGTCTTGAGCAGAGCAGCCCCAGGAAATGACGCATTACTTGGAGGCTAAAACCATCTTTAGAAAGAGACTACAAGGAAAATGGAAAGAACAATATACACATGTCACAACCATGATGACCCCCTACTACCTCCTCACCCATCAAGGGCAGGTAGAGTTCTTGTTGATAATTAAATATGTAAAAGATTTTAAATTCAAAAGCCTGTTCTCTATATTATTCCACAACCACATATTTATCTTTTTAAGTTTTGTAAAGACCAAAGGAAAAAAGAGCACAATTATTAAAAAAGCGTGACTTTTGCACTTATTTTTCAATTGTAAAAATGAGGTAGGAGTTAATGAAACAATTCTGAAATATGTTGTAAGTTGCCCCATGTCTAATTTTTTGTGCTGTTTTTAATAATGGCTGATCTGGAAGCCTCCAATGACTTGGGAAATTGTGGAATGACGCTGGGCAGTATAAAAAGGTAAACAGAAGACAGCATGCTGTATAAACTTACTGTGGAGTCTGCATTTAATAAAGTAAACTCTTTCGGACAATAAGCAAATGTTCACTTTATCCAAGGTTCAGTTTAACCACTTTGGTAGGGTGGAGGCCTAGAAACAGTAGCTACATACAGTGGTGGGTCAAGGGTGGAGGTGGGGTGGGGGGACAACATAGCGGGCGAGCCTAGACTAGAGCTCTTTCTTTCTGAAAGAGATTGCCATCGCCAACGCCGAGCTGGTGACAGTGACACGGTCCGTCTGTTTTTCGTTTTCACTCATTGTGGGTGTTCATTTTTATCTGATTTCCCTGTGAAACCGGTTAATTTTATTCACTATTTTTTTACTTAAACAAATAGTGTTTCAATCGGGACCACAGAATATTGTTCACTCCAACTAATTGTTCACTTTAAGCGGACTCCGGTGTATTTAAATCATGGGCTGGCACAGATGCAGCATCAGATATCAACGATATAATATGTCAGAGGTTGGCACAGAAAGTTTATGCTTTGAATAGAATAGCAATGAATTACATGTAGATCTACTGTAAGTTTTTGTACCTTTGAAAGACTGGTTATGTTCTTCTCTCCAGTGAAAACAAGTTCTCAGATGTGTAAGAGAATAATGCAGGATGCGGATGAGAAGAAGGTGAGTCTCTGCACATGGATCTGCGTGACTGATAATTTTATAATAATAAGATATTAAAAGACTGCTTTTGTGAATTACACATCACAGTGTGAGTTTGATTGTTGGTTTTAAGGCTGTTCGTTTAGAAGCAAAAAAAAGCAATATATAGTCAGAAAGCGTGTGTGTTTGACACTGACTTTCCCTAAAAATGTAATAAATAAATTACTTATTTCGTGTTTGTGCTTCCAATGAATAATATTTATAGCCTACCAATTTCGAGGGTAAATTCCACATGATCTTATTCCTATTTATTTGGCATAGTGCTTTAACAGTGAAGAGCCATTCATTATATACATTGAATTGTGTCAATATGCTTGCTCTACTTGAAAGATATTGAACTTGAACTGAAAAGATCTTTATTTTGCTTATATTTATCTTGTGTGTTTGTTTTTGTTAATGATGGTTTCACTTCAAATGTGATTTTTGTAGAACATTCGAAGCACTGAACTTAAAAATGTTTGTTACCGGTAATTTTATGTGATATCTTTTTTGTGATTGTGTCACTTCAAATGTGGTTTTTGCGGAACATTCAAGGCGTTACGTGTAAAAAGTCTTTTTAAATGTGAATTTTACGCTTCATCTTTTTTGTGTTGGTTTCACTTCTAAGGTGATTTTTGTTAAACATTCGAAGCATTTACCATTTATTTTCTGTTCCAAAATACACATACGCTACAGGTCTGTTTTCTGTTCTGTCTATCCCATACACACTCCATATCTGTTTTCGGTTCTGTTCCTCCCATACACTCCATGTCTGTTTTCTGTTCTGTCTATTTCATACACTCCGTGTCTATTTTCTGTTCTGTCTATCCCATGTCTGTTTTCTGTTCTGTCTATCCCATACACGCTCCATGTCTGTTTTCTGTTCTGTCTATTCCTTCCATGCTCCATCATGTCTGTTTTCTGTTCTGTCTATCCCTTACACGCTCCATGTCTGTTTTCTGTTCTGTCTATCCCATATACATGCTCCATGTCTGTTTTCTGTTCTGTCTATCTAGGTGGGTGGTTGACGGGTGCTCTGGTGTGGTTTGCTCCTTCTTCCCTATCAGACATCTATTGTCCTGATCTCTCCTCCTTCTTTTTTTGTGTTTGTTACTCTCTTGTAACACCTCTTATCTTCAGCACTTATATGACCTTATTGTGTTGCAAGTGCAGTAAAACTCTTACTAAAACGAAACTGTTCTGTCTATCCCATAAGGTGGACTGGCTGGAGTCTCAGAGGGCGCGTCGCAAGCACGAGTGGGGCGAGTTCATGTCCGTCCAGAGGGCGCGAAAAGACCGAGTGGACACAGACTACGAGCATTTCGTGAAGAACTTGCACAGCCACTACTCGGAGCTGGAGGAAAAACTGAAGGGTGGGAGGGCCAAGGTGTTGTGATTGTCAGAGTGACGGGTGTGGGGCTGTTGTCATGATGGCGGGTTCTGACTTTTGTCGTGGCAACGGATGTGGGCGGTAGCCATGGCGGTGGGTGTGGGCTGTTGGTTGTCATGGCGGGCTGCTTTGTCTTTCATCAGTGAAGAGAAGAATTGTGAAACAGAGAGAATTTGCCAGGGCTGGCTGTTGTGTCGTCTTTTTTTTCAAGTAACAGTAACAGTAAAAATTATTTTTAAGAAGAGATACTGCTTAGACGCAGACCAAACTGTCTTCATAGACGGTGATAAGAAAATTAGACTACCACACAGGTTGCGAAATCGGTAGGATGTTGAAAAATTTTATGTACCTGATATGTGTTTTAAATACAAAGAGTACAAGCTGCAAAACAAACGAATTTATCAAGCAAACAAAATATTGACGGCTTGAAAATATGTTTACTAACTATGTGTGTGCTAGACTGTATACTAGAGATACTGGTCAGTGCAAACTGCTATTAATGTGTTGTAGTGGTTTTCGCATTTAATTAATTTTTTAAGAACTCTTTTATCATATCTAGAATTAGTAAAATATCTTCTTATGATATTTTGCCAGTATGTAAAGGAAAAAGTTTGAACTTTCTTGAAACCAAGGCCAGTTACATGATGGACCAATTGGAATTGTATTAGGTTAACAGTACCTCTACTTTTTTAAAAGTAATGTCTGAGTGACTGCTCGTGAACATGTTTGCTGGTGTGTTCTATGTTTTTATGCACATTTGTGTGTGTATGTGTGTGTGAGTGTGTGTGCGTATTTGTGTGTGTGTGTGGGGGAGAGAGAGAGAGAGAGAGAAAGAGAGAGAGAGAGAGATCTTGTATATGAGTTGTTTTGGACACTTAAAAAGTGTCCGTATGTTCTTGTTATGGCATGCCCCTTGCATATTTGTGCAATAGCTAGAAAGATTTATTGTTGAAAAATCATATGTGTTAAATTATTCATACTTTTTCTGAAAGATTGCCACTGTGTATGATATGATTATATATGTGTGCATTTCCTGAACACTGATGTTGATGAAATAAAAGATACTATTCTGCAAAGCCACTGTGTTGCCAGATGTTTGGTATTAGTATTATTTATGGAAACGAGTTAAGGAAGAGCAAAGCCTTATTGTGCTGCCAAGTTCTTGTAATTCCTCTCCTTTTTGTATCTCTGTAAGAGCTCAGGGACTAAGAGACTAAGCTTTTCATCTCACAGTCAGGGTACCGTTGATTTTATGCATGTGACCGTTTCATCGACATAGAAGGTAGAGTCATCCCTTCCTGACAAACGGTCATGTAGGCTACTGGTTTTGAAAGTACTCTTAAAATTTGTCACTGACTGGAGCGGTTTCAGTTTTGTTTGGGTAGGTATTAATTTTGAGTTTTGCCCAAATAGCTGTCTCTGTGGTTTTATGCACAAAAAAATCTGAAATAATGCAAAATGAGCCCAAAAATGTGAAATTATGCGATTTTGTTAATTTCAACAAATAATGAAAAGGAAAATAATCCGAAATTATGCAAAAAATGATCAAATTTTGCTAAATTAAGCGGGGTGCATAAAACCACGGGGACAGAAATACATGGACAGCCAAACATACTCAAACAGCCACCTGTATATAAGACCATCGACTGTACAAACGTCCACTTCCTATTTCCTCCTTTGCATCTTTTTAACATTATAATGACAGTGTATAAAGTAAAACGACCATAAAATGTTCAAGACAGCCAATTTTCTCCTCAACAAAGGATGGTCGTCTTAGACCCTTCTGAGCGCTCATGACCTTATGCAGTTGTGAGCACTGTAAAACACTTGCCAAAACAAAAGACAATCCATCTGACCATTATAAAGCACTTAATCTTAGAGACTGGATACAAAGAGCAGAATTTTTAGCTAATGTCAGTATGTGTCTTATTACTCTTATTATATTATGGATAGTTTGGATGAACTTGACCAATGACGTCAAAAGGTATAAAGGAAAAAGAGAGAAAGAGAGAACCTGAATATAGGCCCCATCGAGACAATTCAAATCATTTAGGAGGCAACCCTGCTTGTCTGGGCGTACCTGGGCTGAGGGGGATACAACGTTTAATCCCAGAAGAGAAGAAAAGAAAGACCAAGAAACTTGATAAAAATTTCTCCCCAATCAGGAATCGAACTCGAGTCGTCTGTGATGCATGCGACATCGAATTTCCTAACTGCTTAGTTTAGTTTAACTTTTAGTAAGGTTTTACGGCGCTTGCAACTGCATAAGGTCATATGAGCCCCAAGGGGTAGATGTCAATAGAGAAGTCCAAACGGAGAACCAAGCCTACTCTGCTCACCTCTCTAGTCTCAACAACACAAAGTCTGCTTCGACTATCAAAGCACCCCGGAAATAACGAGTCACAAGAATGTGACAAACATACATATAAGAAATAGAGGAAAATGACGATACATGTAGTAAGTATGAGGAAATAAAAAGCAGCAGTTCCCCCTGTTGTTCCGGCACAGTATGAGTATGATGAGCATGACATTGATTAATCAGCCCGTTTATAATTCTACTGTGCATAAGAACAAGTTAAATTATTCCTTTGGAAATGGCATAAAGACAACTTTAGTCAGTGGCACTCACCTGGGTGAGGGGGGGGGGGGGGTGGGGGTGTGTGGCTCTCCTTACACCACAGACGCCGGTTAGAGCGAGCGAGAGAGGGAGAGGGGAAGGGGGGGGGAGTGTCTTAAGTTGTCCCATATTCTTTTCTTTCTCCCTTTTTTTCTGTCTTGCTTTTTCCTTGCTCAAAGTAACAGTTATTTTGTCGATATATTTATTATGTTTCTCTTTACTCGAACTAAACAATGTTTTACGGAGTTGTTATTCAGTTTGTCCGTTTTATATGGGGTTTTTTTTCGCTCGAAATTAAACTACTTCCGTAATAATAGTGTCGATGTCCTTTTCTTTTCCCAAAACTGAAAGACAGAATTAAGAAGGAATTACGGTCGAAACTGTCCGCGACGTCCACACATTGGCGTGGGGGAAAGTGGACCATGTCATTCATTTTAAAATAGGCAAAAACAAACTTATATATAGTAAGCAGACACACTCTGGGATGGATCCTGAAAGGGGGGGTAGGGGAGCAGAGAGGGACATGTTCCGACCCTAGTGACCCCAAAACTGACTACAAGGATTGAAGTAAACGTACCGTAAAAGGGTGTGGGGTGGTGTGGTCGTTTTTGCAGATGGTTGTCTTAGACAGGCGGCTTGTTAGAACAAGTTTAATGGTATTTTTGTATTATTATAGAAAAAAAAGATTATGTTCTTCTCTCAGATTCAAACCTCGCCCTTCACGTCAACGCAGCTGTGCTGTTTGTTACGTCCAATTCTTCACTTTGCCAAATGCACTGACGCAGCGCGCAAGGAGTTAAAAGAAACAGGTCATCATACCGACACCACCTTCCAGCCGCCCGCACCCCTTGCAATAATCCCATTGAAGAATGTTATAATAGTATTAATAGCATTACTACGTACCCGGCAAGTCCTTGGGCTGTACGAATTAACGAACAATAGAAAATAGGAAGAAAATCCTCTATGGCCAATCTACGAAAGCAATCAGTAGTAAATCTTCACCGCCCATTAGCGTCACTCTGGAGGTAGGCTTACAGGCAGGGCTGGGGATCCGGGTATGATGACTGACGGGTGGTCTGCAGTGTATAACTCGGCTCGCGGACCCCTCAGAAGTGGAGGTACAGAAAGAATGCACAAAGAAATGGTGACTTAAACTTAGCCAATGGTTGTAAGTTAAGTGTTTTGTCCCCAATCGACATGATTTATACTTTTAATTAAGCAAAAGTAGACAGTTCAGTGAAACGACGTGCTGCTGAGAGCAAAATAGGACGCCATCTCACCGATAGAGTTTTGTGACGGGCAAGTAGGGTCTAGCATTTGCTGGTTATAAATTGTGTCACGACGCGGTGGAATCAGGCGCTCGTCAATTTTTGGGCACATGAGTTATTGAAAGCATCATAAAGCTTGTTCATTTGTCTTGCAATTTGTGAAATGAATACTCATTTATAGAGATCTTGAAGAGAAGTCGAAATATTTCCGATTGAAAGAGGATATGAAAGACAAAATTAGTGAGAAAATGGTCGCCAAAGTGTGGTGATTTCCAAAGCTTGAGAGTCCTTGGAAACTGGAAATTTACTTTTTTGTGTGCCTTTAATGAACTTTTTTTCGGTAACATCCTCACATAAATATGTTTTTAAGAGGACATAAAAGGTGTTATTTAAAAAATCCGAAAAAAAATTAGAAAAAAATTAGAAAAAAATTGCTAAACGCCCAGAAAAATGAGGCTTCTTTGATTTTGATTTTTTGCCATTTTGACGAGCGCCTGATTTCACCACGCTGCCTCCCAATTGTGATTCTATTTCTCTAGGTGGACTAAGTAAAGGTAATGTATGGTCAACTGCAGATGAAAATATAAGGGAGTGAAAAAAGATCAACTCATCCGAAGTTCAGCTTGACCGTTGGGACCTACGGTGAAAATGAAGCAGGGGTGCTGAGACCTTAGAAAAAGATCAACTTAATTAAACGAAGATTTAATCAAGCAAGTTCAACACAAACGGAATCGACTATAGTTTTTTTACACCCCTATCGACACAACTAAGGTCACTAGGGAGGCAGGAATCGGCTCAGCCTGTCATGGCCAACCCTGTCTTAGAGGGATACAGTATCTTAGCAGAAGAGACCGAGATATTATATAATATGATACATGAACTTGATAAAAATACCTTCCACTCAGGAATCGAACTCGGGTCTCCAGCATGCGACAGCGATGTGTGTAATGCTACATCACAGTCGCCTGTTCTCTAAGCTTTGGGGCACTTCACTTCAGTTACGGGATTTTAAACGAAAGCGAAGGACTTTACGATTATGATCTTTTTTCGTGGTCGTAAGGGCAACCCTAAGTCCCTCTCCGGGTTCTCCGTTGGATAAAAAAGTATAATGTAGATTATTTGTATCCTTCTATTTTTACTGGAAATGTTATCCTTCTAGAAAATGGACAATTTTAAAACCCTACGGAAAATGTCATGCCATACAAAGGCATAAGGTCCACACTCGCTTTCTTTTAAGTAAAAACATTTTCCTTTAGTGTGGTCCTTGAAGGATGGCACCTAAAAACTTGTGCAAAAAACTTATACATGTATATTATTATGAAGGGGTCAAGCGAAAAATAGGATACGTCACATTACATCGAATTAGCCCCCTGTCTGTCTGTCTGTCTGTCTGTCTGTCTGTCTGTCTGTCTGTCTGTCTGTCTGTCTGTCTGTCTGTT